GGGGGGGGGGGGGGGGGAGAATCTGGGGAGTTGAAGTCCATTCATCTTAAAGTGACCAAGTTTGGACAACACTGGTCTAGGAGGATTGGGGAGTTTGTGTGGGGACACACGAGTAGCCAGCATGGTGCAAATGCAGAGGGTCTGGGGGAGAGTGTGTGGGTGGGAGAGACTTACTCCAGCGACTTGTGACCTTCCCTGCTGGCTTCCTTGTTGACTTTCTGGCAGGGAAGGTTGCAAATGGTGATCATGTGACTGCAGGGTGCTTGGCAACCGGTTGTAAGCACAAATGGGTTGCCAAGCACACAGATTGCAATCACATGACCACAGAGGTGCTGGGACGGCCGGAACTCTGAGGACTGGTCATAACCACCATTTGTTCAGCACCATTGTAACTTGGAATGGTCACTGACCGAATGGTCGTAGGTTGAGGACTACCTGTAGCCACCAGCTTCATTCCCCAACCTCTCCAAGCCAAGCCTCTGATTGTTCTCATTGCATAAATTCAGGATTAGGGTTAAGAATGAGCCAACCATCATCCAGCAATGTTTCCTCCAGCTGACCAATAGGGAGTTGGGAGGCAGGGATTGGTAGGGGGCCTAGCCTGCTCTTAGCCCAGCAGGCCATCAATGTTTGCAGTATGAGTTGCACTGCAGCTGAATTGGAGCAGGATCCACTGTGGGATCTGAGAGGGTTGGTGGTGATGCGAGAAGCCGTGAGCAGATGTTCTCTGTGACCCTCACCTTGTCGAAATTCCTTTGCTTCTTGTCCAGGGCAGCTGCGGCCGCGTTTGAGCGCTCCACATCCACCATGAGATCTTCGATCTCATTCTGAAGACGGTGCTTGGTCTTCTCCAGCGAGGAACATTTGGCGTTCACGGCCTCCACCGCCTCCTCGGCTTCCTGGAGCCTCTGGGCCAGCTTCTTCCTGGCACATCAGGGCAATAGAGAGAAAATTACCACCGGAAGAGGTCTGCTTCTTCCCCCAACAGATGGGGAAAGCAAATCTCCCGTTCTTCTCTGGATGAAGGCCCCAAGAGTGGCCAGCCAGCTGCAATTTATCCTCTCATGCTCTGTGATAGCTTTTAATGAATCTTAAGGTGGGACCAGCCCAGAACTGCAAAGAAAGGCATTGATGTTTGGGGTCTAGAGGAGGCATTCCCAACCCTTGCTTGTTTGGCTTCACAGGTCTCAGATAAGCTGTCTGGTCCCCATTTGTCCAAGCTAAGACCCCCCCCCCCGGAAAACTTCCCTACCCACCTACCTTGGTGTTTTTAAAATGGGGATTTCTCCTCCAACCAACAAGCTTTTTGCTCGTCTTATACACTGCCATTTTCAAATATAACCCGAGCCAAAAGCTTCTCCATTAGAGGAAGCACCTGTGAAGAGAGATGCCAGGGGTCTTGAGGGGAGGGGTGGAGAAGACATTGGAAGCTGGGAAGTGGGAGGCACACAGCATGGGGTGCATGTTTATGAAGGAGGAGGACATGGAGGCCAGAGGCTCAGAGCAGGTCCCAAAGGAGGGTTCCAAGGGCTGTCAGGCCCAAATGTCCTTCCTCAATGCCAGGAAAAAGAACATATAAATATGTTGACCTTCTTGAGATGACATCAGAACAAGTAACAGGCCAGAGAACAGGTGGAAAACTTTGCCCTCCATAAGCACTTCCAAAATTAAGTTGGGCTATTTCATGGAAATGCTCAAAGGATTCATTTCTTTGAGCACAAACCCCACTCCAGAAGTCACGCCTGCTGGTTGTCCAGCTAATCTGTTGTGAAGTTCAGGGTGTGGCCTCTTGAGTTCGGCTCCCTCACTTACTTGGCTTCTTCCAGTTCCTCTGTTCTCTGGATGGCATCTGTTTCATACTTGGTTCTCCACTGTGCCACTTCAGAGTTGGCCTTGGAGAGCAAGCGCTGGAGCTCCGACTTGGCTTCCATCTCCTCCTCATACTGTTCTCTCAACAGGTCGCAGTCATGGCGGGCTGACTGCAGAGCGTGTGCCAGGGCATTTTTGGCCTGAGTCAGTGAGGAACACATGTAAATTTGGAGGATTTCCATCACACCACCCATCCTCATCTCTAAACCCTAACCCACAGTTCCCAAGGGATGTTTCTTCACCTTGGACTCCTCTTCTAATTGTCTCTTCAGGTCCTCCATTTGCTGTGTGTAGGATTGTTTCCCACGAGTAAGCTGAGAAACAAGAGCCTCTTTCTCTTCGAGCTGTCGAGTGACTTCTCCTGAGGGCCGGAAAGAAGAAACACTCAGTTCCAGAAGCTACGTGGAATAAGAGTTTCTTCTTGTGCTGACCTCACGAAGAGGAGGGGGACAACAAGAGGGAGAAAAATGATAGCTGGTACCATTTTCAGTCAGCAGTTTAGCTCGCTGTGTGTTGGTGTCATTGAGGGTCCTCTGCGTTTCCTCCAATTTGGCACGGTAATCTGCACACTGGTCCTCTATCGTGCGGCACATCTTCTCTAAATTTGCCTGCCAATAAATAGAAGGATTAAAAACAATGAAGGCCTGGCAGCAGCGGGAGCAAGTTCTCCCACGAAACCACTGCACGATTGTGATGGAATGGAATTATGAAGGCCAGACTCAGGGAGAAAAACATTTTCTTTCATCTC